CCTTTGATTAACTCAAGTGATCGGTTCCGGATGTGAGTTAGAGCGTCTTGTCGCTTGGTGCGTGAGTTCACGTCTTACGACCGACGGGGTGGAGAGAATAATCATTTCGATTGGGTTTGAGTCACTGGTCTTCTTGTTCAGAGCACCTTAACCACTTGTTTCTCTTTGGTGTTTCTGGTAAATTCTGCTGGTCTGCTTGGGCTTGTTAGTGCTACGGCAACCTGGTTGAGGGTGAGATTATGTAGGTTTTCGGTTCGGTTGGGCCATGACAACTCTTCGCCGATAACGGCCCATCTGGAGATTATGTAGGTTTTCGGTTCGGTTGGGTCATGACAACTCTTCGCCGATAACGGCCCACATGTCAGCTCGGATGAATTGGTGCTAGTTCGCTATTTATACGTCTTTTATGCTATGCACCCTGTGATGCTTGGCGACCTTCACCACTTGGCTACCAGTCACTCAAATCTCCAACGTTTTACAAATCTATTCTCTCTTCTTTAGTGCATGTTTTGCCGTTTCTGTAAATTTCAGTGGAGCCCAGTGGTATTCTGCGTTTCCGTTTATTCTTTTCTTGTACCCATCCCTTCTGGTGCAAAGTTCTGTAGTAGTCATTCTGTGGGGCGGTTGCATTTGATTTTGCAAACAGTCGGTGATTTTACTCACAAGGATGCTGAATACTCTTCAACTGCCCACGACCGGTTTTACCCTTCCTTCGGCAGACCAGGTAGACGCAGTCCCTGAGTTTTCAGCAACCTTGTGAGTAGTTTCCTTTATGAGAATACACTGCCGCATCCCAAATATCGTATCAAGCGAAATATGAGGCCAATTTGTGCAGCATATTTAGCTGAAGAACATTATCAAAAAAAGGGGTTCAGCTGAGTCTTTCGTGAAAAACAAGTCGGTATGTAAACTAGGATATTTGCCAAAAATGCCTCTGATTTTGTTTTTTGGGAGAAACTCCCTCAACTGTATCAGGAAGAGTATAGTGTTCCCCATGTGGAATTCTACGCTTATGTTAACCATATTTATTACCATTCGGATTAATTCGGACGTCCCTGGTTATAATGGAATAGCAGAAATCCCATGACTTTACCAGTTTGGTCATGTCACATCTTCCAAAGTCCTGCTTAAATGACGCCTAGTCAAGCTAGCTGCGCAATTTTTGTCTCGAAGTCTGTTCATTATCTCAGTTTTGGCCGCTGTCTGAGCAGCATCTTTTGCTCATGGGGGTACTTGGCCAAGCACTGAAGGGTAAATACCGGCAAATACCGCCCTAGAAAGAGCCAACAAGTAGCTCGGAATTGATTTGGTGTCATTTAACTTGTGGTGCACTAAGTTGCTTCAGTGTCCCATCAGCCTCACATGTCATACAGTCTATGGAGCTTAGTAAACCCGAAGATGAATGTACCTTCATACTACATTTGATTGGAGGTTCAGGTCACCCAAATGATTGCAAAATTCTCCGAATTACTCTCCCTTAATCACATAAAAGTGTCGTCTGCATAATACCACAAAAATCTTGGTTGCTAAAGATTTTTGTTGGAGACCTTTCATAGATGTTCCACTGCTAAAGTTTCATCTCAAGAGAAGAAGCGGAGCCGGAGACTAAATGAGATTCGGGCACATTATTACGCCTTTAACTATTTGACCTACAGTAAGTTACGTCCATTTTGAACGTCGTGTCCACCAATAGCAGCCAATTCTAGCACATTCGGATATAATGATCTTGTGTCAGAAGAATGTCATCTCATTCCGCGGAGAAGACCGGGTACCCGTTCGTAAAAGTGTATGAATTCCTAACATATGCAGTCAATTTTCCGGTCTGGGGTTTTAGAATTCGTCAAGAATCCGGACAGCTCATGAGGTGAGAAGCTACTCGTTAGATTATTTGCGTCTTGGCTTCCTGGCAGGCTGAAAAACCATGACTGGACTGCACGTTTAGGGTAAAATATTCATTGGCCTTCTGTGAGCTGTTTCCCAAAGATCTCAAATTTACTCGCATTCATTTTAGACATGATCAACAGTTCGGTATGCTGGTATGGTCCTTCAGTTAGTTGTTAATCTGCCTTCTGTATACAACCACTTTCATCCATAACCACAGTGGATTTACCTTTACTTGATTTTGTAATCACTGTATCATCCGCCCGTTTTAGAGTACATCTTGAGCTTCCCTATGCAGTATTTGGAGCTGCTGACTGCTGAAACTTAAGGACTGTGATCAACTACATCCACAGCCCTATCGCTGTCATTCGAGGAAGTTTCTGAAACAGACTGAACAATAGGGAATATCATTCTGCCCTTATTGAAATTCGCTCACAAATATTTAACCCGTTCTTCGAACAGTTACAGCTCCTAATCACTCAGTGGAACACTTAATCTCAGAAATTAAGTTTCCTCCTATCCCTCTGGTTTTGACCGACTGTTAGTTGAAGTTGAGCCGATGTGTGCGTTGACGGACGTTAGATAAACGCTGAGTATTTTTTGCGAATCCTCTGTCTGAGGATTGACCTGGTCCCTAAGAATGCTATTCGGGCAGGATCAGGAGGCCTGCAACAGTCTCGGCAGCAGAGTTTTGAGAATCCGGTTGCACTTCAAGCATGTTTTGTCCACTAAACGACGGTTCTCTCTGTTTACCATCAGCCACGTCAGCAATTTTTTATCATGTGGTCCGTAATGTTTCCAGTCGGTTAAAAGGTTCGAATCAATTAAAACGTCACCGTTCCAGAAGAGTTTGTTAAACAGTCGGTGAAATTATTCGTAGCTGAGCAAAGTTTTGCTTGTGACACGGAGATTTCCTCGGAAAATCTGAGTAGGATACAAGATTTTTTGCTACAGTTCTTGATAAATAAGTATGTTAACTGCTTTTATCCTATCAGTAACCAGGCTAAACACAACTTATAATCACAGCGAGATATCCCAACACATGAATAGACCAAACTGTTAAAGTACAATTTACAAGCCTAATTACCGCGATAAACGTAAGGTAAAAATGAGGTTAAGTTTTCCTGTGCACCATTTTGAAAAGCCATCATCCGTGTACACAAAAATTATAGTGCGTAGTCTCTGTCAAAATGGTGCACAACTAATTCTGTATTAAATTTAGGCATAGTGGCTGTTTATCAGTAGGTCTCCAGCCGATGTTGCACCCTTGAGTTTTGCAGCTCAAGGTAACAGGGAGCTTTCCGTGGCTCTCCCAATTTTTCTCCTACGAATGTCGTTTATTTCCCAAGGTAAGGTTTGGGCTATTCTAAGACCTATGACGAAGCCATCTGCTGTAAATTTGTGAGATTTGAGGGAAAAGTACGTTCATCGACCTGAGAGCATTTTTTGGCGAAAAGGGTGGATCACTCATACTTTTCGCAGATTTCAACGCAATGTAATGTACTTGATCTGCCTGTTTCTGCACAGTCTGAAAATAGATCAAACAACGCTCCTCCCCATATACCCAAATGATGCCCAGTGGCACCGCATACCGTTGAGTGTATGCAGGATATTGCACCGCATTTCACATCTTTCCATTTGCTTTACTTACTAAAGCTTGTGCTCCGAGCTGCTGATGTCTAATGAACCTCCACGATTCCCGAGAGTCGCTACCGCACTCTGCAACAAGCTATATGCACATGGAGACTTTCAGAGACCACATAAGTGCATGTGATGTAACTGACCTCTTTTCAGAACATCATTATATTAGACCACGAAGGCAAACAAACCAGTCATCTCATTGATCAACCACAACTTTCAAGCCCAGCAGGACGAACAAACGACAGGACTATTGATGCGAGGTCGACCTGTGTATAAAAATTCTGCAAGAAAGTGCTGATAAAATTGGCCTGACATCTATTTACTGTTTTGTAGACCTTGACATCCTGTTACACTGGACCTAGTTAGTGCTTTCAAGGTATACGATAAGGGCTACCAGGAGCGAAGTACAATTCCTAAAGCTTACTCGAAATAAAAGTTGGAACATGCCTTTAAAACCGGGCTTGGTACAGTAATGAGATCTCTATATATATATATATATACAGTGACCCCACGTTAACACTCTTAACGCTTGTTCTGATGTTAAGACGCGAACATTAGGCTTATGCTGAGATATAGTTCTTCTGTTGTATACATACCAATATATTATGCATACGAATGCATACGGATGCATGCTATCCAAGAGGATTATTGACGGAACTAACCGGAGAATGTGGCTACATAGAGGGTGAGGCTCTAAGAGGCCCTATATTTCCCTGACTTTAAGGTGAAGTCATACCGTTAATGTCTTGCCCACCGAGAACAAAGGTTGAAACCACTAACGCAAGAAGTCCTCCATGGATATTGGCGCCATAGATTTGCCAAGTAATTCTAAAATGTACAGAATCATTTACCGGAACCTTCCACTATCCCAGATATCAGGTTTTTATGGAGGTGTTCACCGCACCAAACGAATGGGAAATGCAACACTGGCGCCAGTCTGAATACCAATACAGAAGTCATCATTTTTCTTCCACAGTCGTCTTTGAGATATACGCTAGTTATTATTTTTTGGTTTTTTTGGGGTTTGTAAAACTAGCGTAGGACTTCCATCCTCACAGAAGTGTGTAATGGAATTTCAACAGGAAAAGGCGGAAAGTTTGGTTCTTACCATAAATGGGTTCGGCCGTTTGGTAAATGGAGGCTTGAAAATCCGAACAACCGGAATAAAAACTGAACTTGTTTATTTGCTACTACTCTTAGTTATCACTTCGGTGAGCCTATGAGGTTAAGTAAATCTCATTGCTCAAACCGTGATTCATCTGTAGACAGAAACACTATTAAAACCAAGTCAAGTAAGCTGATGCGTTGTGATAGTTTTTTTCTAGTTGCGTATGCCCATCGCCATTATGGTCATTCTAATCAGGAAGCACACCTTAAGTGCATAAATCTGATTGTGATCATCACTGCGATTACAATACTGGGAATGAATGTATTCTATTGACCCACGACGCGCCTAAAACTGTTTTTTTATATTTCAGCGGTCAAATGCGCCCCTTGTGAACAGGCCATCACACTGGAGAACATCGCGAGCAGCTACTGCATGGCTGATGTTGGTATGTCCAATTTCCGCGTTTTTTTCGCGCACAATTTTATTTTGGTGTCGCTTTATTTAGCAACCATTAACTCTTTCATATTGAGCAGCAAAAACTTTTGTAACCTTTTTCTTCCTAGGAGATCTCTCTCTCTTGAGAGACCAGACCACCGGCTCTCCAATGCCACTCAATTTGTGGATCCTCTTTTAGAACCGGTCACGTTTTGTGGTTCCATTCATGTGTCTGCATTGGAATATACGTGCAAGCAAATAAACTAGCCGTCCCGATTTTTCGTCATAGGATTTATCGACCGGGAGCAGTAGGATTTCTGAGTTCAGTTTCACGCTACTAAGGCTGCTACTGAAGGAAATGTTGATAGTGGAGGTGATGTTATTGATGGTCATGGATATGATCATGATCATATTGTTTATAACATATTTCACACATTCAGATTTACCAAAATTAAAAACTAACCGGCAACGTGATTTTGGCAATAACTAGATTACTTGGACTAACCGCCTCTTCTTGACCTAAATTCGAAACGTATCTTCGGAAGAACTTCCTTCAGACACGGTCATTTTGTCAAAAAAGTCCAATTTGGGTTAGTCTCCTAAAGACTCCTTAAGCCCTCTCAACAGAGGCAACTTTTGTTCGGTTGCCTACATATGGTTTATGTTAAAGAAAACAAGTTTGTGGGTATACACAAACAGAAAGTTTGCTTTTTAGTTTCTTAATTAGAGTTTACTGAAGCTGTTGGAATAAGGATGTTTTTAGAGCCAGTTGTATCATAAACGGCTCGGTCATCAGAATCACCAGATAAGCGTATTTCTTGTGGAGCTTCAATAATGACCGCGGTTGATTCTCCTCACCACATTGTTATGTGCAGTATTTAGGTTTGATTTGGAATGCGTTTCCTTTTGAGTACTCCTTGTGAATATTACCATTTTGACCTTGCCGTATGGCTCACCCTTGGAACTGTAAGTATGACTATATTTTGTCAATTCCTTCAGGTTGTTTACCCCAAAAACTAGCTGTTAGCAGATGGCACTTAAAAGGCATAATGTAGTGAGTTGCAGCAACATGATGTATGAGCATTAGATAACCAAATACTATAGAAAATTGTCTATAAGTAAACTAAGTTTCGACGCGCTTAAATAGCCTACTATCGCCCGAAAAATGTAGGTAGTTTAGTTTTTGCTCAAGCAATATCCGGAAAAGTCTAGTACAGTATGAAAAGTCTGTTGAAATTTACGAAATCTCTCCTCGCTGTTAAACGTTTGAACGAAGTCCAAAGGCAGCGTGAATCTTCAGCCTGAGTGACTGGCACTCCCGGAGCAGTCAGTACTTGACCATATGTTATGAGTTCCGTGATCTAAGGATGACTGAAGTTGTGCTCTTATTGCCAGTTTATCAAACTTTTGATCGGCCACTCTTAGCCGAACGGTTTAGCTGCCACGATGCTGCGAGTTCGAACCACTGTGGTGGTTCATTGGATGTGCACCACCTATAATTCTTAACAAAAACGAAACAGCTGTAGATTTCTGATCGGCGTTTCAACTAAGGCCGGCTTTACTTACGAGACGGAAGATCGATTAGAAGTCCAAAACTCCAAATTTCCTCATCTTACCACCAAAAACGTCAAGTCAATATGTATCTACAGTCTCTTTCTCAAATTCACAGTCGAGGAAACTATTCTGATCTTGGGAATATTTTCGCTTGTTACACTGTTATTTTGAGTGCCACGATTATATCTTGGCAGATGTCAAGCTGGAACATGAAAACGTCCGGAGAACTTCGATATGCATGGTGTAAATGATGCTAGAACTAATCAACCATGTTATTCCACTAAAAGGTGTTCTTTTAATGGGTTCTTTTGGTGGATTTAGATAACCCTTACACCACGTGTGTCAGGTAAAATGGTTTCTCAGTGGCCGATTTTACCGTAAAAATTCGGAAGGCTCAAAATGGTGAACATTACCATACTCCTCAGATGGCTTAACTTTGAGACTCATGCTGCCTAAATCACCACTAATGAAACAGAAACACTTGTTGAGCCAATGTTACTTCTCTCTCTTAATCTAACTAGTGGTGTTGTTTCCAGCGACAGGCCACTCGTGCAAACTGAAAGGAATTTTTATGTACATTCCGAATTCGGAATAGACAGTCGGCCAAAGAATATCCGTATGATATTTGAAATCCCTAGCTATCAAGATCATCGCGCTGGAATTAACAGTATATTTTCGGCACCCCTGAAAGCTCATCTCGTCTCTTCAATGCGCTCTTATATGCCTTTTCACGTTTCTTGGCTTCAGTACTAAAGGCCTCTTTCAAGGATGTTGAACTACAATCCAACAGAGCATCACTAAAACTCACCCCGAACTCCAGAACACGCGCTCTTAAATTGCACCGAAAGGACGGAACAATTGCTACTAGCTTTGACTTCCAGCGCCTAAAGAAACGAAATCGCATGCGGCGGTTACGGTCTGCAAAATCGCGAATCTATCGGCACGCAGCTACAAATGAAGCGAATTCCGAGACATTTGCCTCACTACCATCCATGTTCTCGCACATACCACACGGAAAGCACTGGATAGTAAGGAGCCATCGTTCAGTAGGACGGTCACCTTCCAATGCAATGTATATTCAAACACTGTCCCGTAAACGAGATACCAGTCGCAAACGCCGTACCAGGAATTCGCAGTTGAACGACATGGACGGAATAACCGAATTGCTATTGGGTTGTTCGACCTGCTCCAGTCTAGGCCATTCTATGAACGCGGAGACTAATGCGGAACTGGACAAAAAACGTTGGCTTATCATGGGACGCCGTGTACTAGATGACAAGTCTCAAAACTTCACAAACCAAGTACAGGTAATCATTAAGTGAGGACTTTTGGTAAAAAGCATCATACCGTGCCAAAACTTACATCAACTGAGTGTTCATTAGGAGGGAGGTATGGTTTGCCATCCTTTCTACGTGCTTTTTTGTGCGCCAAACCCAACATATGGCAAATTATTACACTGGTCGGTTGAAAATACGCTTTACCAACTGAATATCGTACAGCGCTCTTTTGAATGCGGTCGTCAGTAAACAAAATCCGGGGGGGAATTCTCGCCAATCAGACATGTCTACGAAAAATTTTGAACCAACAAACAGCTGACAATTGAAAGGAGTACATCACTTCTGGATGCGTTTCCTGTGCCGTGTACAGTAGTAACTGCAGAGATTTTCGGCAGGGATGAAAAATGTGGTTGGCCCTTCTAGGAGGAGCTAGATTATATTTAACGGTATGAATGTTTGTGTTAGCATGTTTCGTATATTGGTCCAATGCAAAGGATACAAAAAACTGGGAATTCTTTGAGAACTATCTTCGTCTCCTGAGTTCTTTTTGCTTTCACAGAATAATAAGCGAGAATTTTGTATCTGTGTGACCTTATCTAGTAACTCACCATAATGCTGACTTCCTTAGTTTTACTTAACCAAACGACTAGTCTTCTAGTATCTTTTAGTTGTACTCTTTCATTTCTGTCCTACAGGTCACCCTTTTGATTTACTACCTGCGTTTTTGTCACCTGGGGTCGTCGCTGGCACATTGTCCATTTACTGAAATTAAGTTAGAAGGGACATTTTATTTTAGTCAATGTTGACATGGTAGAAGACTTTAACATCGAACGGCCAGAGTACTAAATTTTTAATAAACTAATAGTAAGTCACAAATTGAAGCTTCCAGATGCACGTCTAGCGTAGTATTAAGTTTTGAGGCCCAGCACATCAAATTTAATTTGAAAATGTGCGAAGTGTCATCGTCCACGTTCATTTATTAAGAATGGCCAAACTCACCGCAGAAGTCACTCCGGAAGTTGAGGCGGTCGATTGAGATTGTAACTGTTCGAAACATCTCTTTGCTAGGTACATTTGTAGACTTACAGTAGTGTCCAAAAAAGCATTGTTAGAATAAAAAACTTACAGCGGAACTTAAGGCGAACTAGCATGCGTCCTCAAAAGTTATCTGATCAGTGTGACACATGTGAAATGACATATCACTTAGGTCGATTGTATGCACTATGCCCTGACCATTATTTTCCAACACAGTGCATCCTGATGACCTTAAAAAACTACCTCGAGTCAGTCCTGAGAAATACGGATGCTGGAACGAAACAATAGATTTTGAATAATTTTGCCCGCCTTTAGTCGGTTGTCTAAGGAACAGCAATCCAACATCACATCAGATAATCGGTACATCATTCCAGCTATTGGAACGTGGAAGATTGTTTCTGGAAATGCAAACGGTAATTGTGAAGCTACTTCCAAAAGCACTGATTCAAAACTTCCGGTTCCCAATATGAAGTCATTGATATGACCAGAGGGATTCATAACTCCTCTCATAAGGTAACCCGGAAAGGCTAAACTAACTCCCAGAAGTGTTGGGAAGAATCAATTAGCACTAGTTATTCTTTCGGTACACAAAGCTTTCATGAACTGACAGGCTTTAAAGTGCTTAAAAGAAGTTTGGATTTTATTCACCCGTACGGTTCAAATGAAATTTGCCACAAGAGGCACAACTTCGGCCATTTCCGGTTTGACATTTTTCGGTTTTTATTCCTAAATCTCTGTGTAATCTAAATTGCGGAAATAACCCATTCCACCTGGAAATCGCTATTTCTTTCATGAGTTTCGGCTCTCTCATGTATGTCAGAAACAAGGAAGTCCTGGCTGTGCTCACTATGGAATTGAAAAGTAAGCTAAGTAGTAGCGATTGAAGTTGTTGATATCTGGTCTTAAAGGTGCCTTCCAGAAGTCTGCATTCGCAGTTGAAAGGAACCGTGTACAGCTTGTACAGGTGATCGAGAGTTTGCACAACTTGCCGCTTTCAAGGAGTGAAATAAAGCAGTCTGACTGTTATGTGATTCAGGGCCGTTGAAGATTTAGACTAAATAATGCGCAAGGAAGCCTATGCGCTAAAACCAGGGGTAAACACCGTTTTCTTATCATCAGTCCAGTTTTCACTCTTCCTCCCTGTAGTGTATTTCTAATCATTGCGGTTGATCTTCAATGTCTCCACCATAGGAATTCATATATGAGAATTCAGGATTAGTAGAATGCCTTTGGAAATACCGCGCAGTTAAGGCAGCGATGTTGCGAATTAGGAGAATGCGCAACTATTTGCAAAAGAGGTCAAAAACCCGAAATCAGATATGAACACTTAATGAGATATTTCTTCGCATAGATATGATTGAACAAGCGGATGACACAAATCAGGGTTTGCTGCTGCTTGTGGCTATAATTTCGAGGTGAACCAAAAGGACTCAGGTGTACGGATAAACGTTCAGAGGACTAAGTACAGACACCCACCAGCCTTAATATAAACACCGGTAGTCTATAGGTATACTCCGTACTTTATATTCTCCTGGTATATATAATTAGACTTTATTAAAACCAACCGTGGGAAATGACAAGAATTTTACGGGCCTAGACTGTTCTTATACTGTTCTTATACGTATAAGCCTCGGTTTCACATATACAAAACCAACGATTATCTAAAATGCTCACCATGATAGCATCAACAGCTTTAATAAGACTTGATAATGGACGTTTCAAACAAAGTGACAACCGGTCCTCTTGTTAAACTGGTGCCAGAGGAAATGAGTACCCTTCATATGAGTCATTATTCCGGAGTAAGTGGATGAGTTTGTATCCATAGAAATCGCTCCTCCGTGAAGAAATTGTACATTTTCAGGGACCAGATTTAGCCTGACATGGTTTGACGTAATGTAAGAATGTGTAATGTGCTCTCAACAGGAGACCTTTTATGTTCATTGGCTTGTTCGCTGAGCTGGGCCATTTGATTGCAAACGTTTTATCACCAATTGAGGTGACATCAGTGCGTTATCGGGGAGCGTAGTGGTGCGTAGAGGTGGGTTAGTGGTTGTGCATAACCATCTCGCTACCTAATCTTCCAACATTTTCCTCTAAAGAAGACCTTTCATGTTTCTGTCTTGGGGTTTGGAGCTCTTGTTTGAATCAACCAACCTTATTTACAGGGGTTTAAGGATAATCCACGCATTGACGTACACTTTCTAAACTGTTTATTCAGAAATGTTATGTCTGTATCCCACCCGTGGGCCACTTTATTTGGCCCAGTAATGATACCCCGGTCGTAACATATGACCTCACAGAAGAGACCATTCTTTGCATCTATTGAGGTGCTTCCTTAAAAGCGGTACAACTGTGGTTGGACTCCGCAGATTTTCTCATCAGTAAAGGCTGCAACATTTTGTTCTTGCATGACTGCAGGGAAGAAGGATCTCCCTGGAGAATCGCAACTTAAGAATTCATCTAAATTGGAGATGTGTCAAAGTGAATCCTGACTGTTCTGGCTAGTTTGGAAGTTTTTTTACAGATGCAGACACGTACCAGACCACCCATTGAGACCATCGGACGCAGATACACTTTGCACTCATAGCTCACTTCTGTTATAATTTTTTATTCTTTATGGGAGTGTGACAAACAGGGTATGAATAAAATGTCATTCTGTTTGTCACGAGAGCTTGTCAACAAAGTCGGATTAGTCGGGCATACTATTAATAATCCACGTTTGAATAGGATGCAAACTAATACGAACAGAACCGAAACTAAATGAGTCTGTACTGTTTGTCTATTAAAGCCTGTCTGACACCTGGCAGAAGGCAATTACTAATTCAATTTAGTTGCACCGTGCACCTTTGTCCAACACGAACTTTGTCCAGCGTGCCATCGAGCGTATGGCTGGAGAAAAAACATTTCCTCAGGCTTATTCTCTATTTCTAAACACACTCCCTAGCATTTTATCACCCTATAATTAAGTGGGCACGCCGGAGCGTCACGCATGTAATGAATATCGTTGTCTTGTTCTCGATTGTTAATAAGGCATACTGAATTCGCAACTATGCCTCGACGAACTGTTGTACAAGTTTGATGTCAAAAAGTCATGGTAGCTGTCTTCTTGAAAGAAAACTGCACATTAGACATGTGCGCTATCAGCACCATTGCAAAACGGCACACTATCTTTTACCAGAGGCTACGTCATGCTGCGATGTCTGTCCTGTTGATGTGCTCAATAGCCATCATACCAAAGCATGTTCAAGCACAAAAGTTTTCTCTGTTTTCGCTTTATAAAACCTGGATCTGGTTTGCTGCCCGAAGGAATACAGAAAAGGGATTCTGAGATTTTGCAAGTGAGACAAAACCTCGTCTCGCAGTTACAGTGAACTGGAAACAAACCATGAGCTTCCCCAAGGAGCGAGTCACTGCGCGTAAGGGTTACTCTAAGGGAATTAATTTACTTGTCCTTAGGACCTCTCAAAAGAGTCCACTTGTGACAACAAAATTTCTACGTCATAAAGCTCTAGAAAACTCGCGCTTGTGCGTATGTCATTCCGTGAGGGCTCTTAGGTGCTCAGTCGAGAATATGGTTAGGTAATGTGCTGAAATTCAGCCAACCTTACTTCGCACATCTTGATGATCGATGACTAAACAATAATAGTGGTCGGCTAAATATACACCTGTCGCGCTTGTGCGTATGTCATTCCGTGAGGGATCATAGGTGCTCAGTCAAGAATATGGTTAGGTGAGGTGCTGAAATTCAGCCAACCTTACTTCGGACATCTTGGTGATCGATGACTAAACAATAATTGTGGTCGGCTAAATATACACCTGCTTTCAGTGCACAACAATTTCCATACCTTCCTAAGTTATTGACTACCGGCCATAAATACTTGGAAGCTTGGTCTCACAACCTGTTTGTTTGTTATCTACTTCAAATGGTTATTTTCCCTTCGATATTTTTTTCATGAGTTGGTGAAAATACCTGTGAAAGTTTCTTGAACCTATCTATTTGGTCGTTATGTATGCCCACCGATTCAGTGCGACCTACACATACAACACTCCTGAACCACACTGAGGGCTACCAAGGAGCACCACTGAGTGGTGTGTTTGGCATCTAGCAGAAAAATTTTTCAAAACGTCTTCAGTGTTACTTGATTTTGCCCAGTAGAGAACTTTCTGTATATGGGTGTTCCCAATAGATTTTGTCATCCAGTTTTGGTTTTTTCCGCCAAAAACCAAAACCTAGTGCCTGTGCAAAGATCGTCAGGCCTCGCATACTGGGCGATCAGGAATGACCACTGTAAGACCAAGTGACAGGTAAACACTGCTAAACTCAACCTAGGACTGAACCAATAAAGGATTATATTAGCTGACAATTCAGGCTACTTAGAGTTTGTTAGTAGCTACACATACAACACTCCTGAACCACACTGAAGGCTACCAAGGAGCACCATTGAGTGGTTTGTTTGCCATCTAGCAGAAAATTCTTTCAAACCATCTTCAGTGTTACCTGATTTTGCTCAGTAGAGGACTTTCTGTGTATGGGTGTTCCCAATAGATTTTGTCATCCAGTTTTGGGTTTTTTCCGCCAAAAACCAAAACTTAGTTCCTGTGCAAAGATTGTCAGGCCTCGCATACTGAGCAATCAGGAAAGACCAAGTGGCAGGTAAACACTGCAAAACTCAACCTAGAGCTGAACCAATAAAGGATTATATTAGTTGATAATTCAGGCTACTTAGATTTTGTTAGTAGTAGCATTTTTATGGCAATGTTCACTCTGGGTGACTGACTTTACGGTTTCTGTTTCTTTGGTAGAACAGATACAGAGATGAATAAAGATAGGAATGGCTGCTTAGTAGGTACAATATGTTAAGTCTGTAATCGGGAGATTGCGAACTAGTCATAGGTAGATAGATTGATAGATTGTGTCCAACGGCTGAATAATGTGTCCTCGGTTTGGAAAATATTTAGGACAAACTTGATGAGGAATACTGGACAGTTCTGAACCGACGGGTAGCTCAGGACTATACTAATCAATTCAACAACGTGACAGGCTTAATTACAGAAGCAATGATGTGGCGCCTTCCACACATATACCTAGTAACCCCTACAAGCCGAAGACGTGTTTCGCAGTATTGTCAGTTGCTGTAACAAAAAGACAAGATAACTACTAAAATGGATCCTTCGGGTTCTCAGCATATCTCGGATTGACGTCGTTTGCTCCACTTCAGAATTTATTCGATAACTTTCCTAACTCAAAGAACGTCTTCTGGCTTTTTTGCGCCAAAAACGAGGTGCTTATTGGGGTGAGTTATTGGGGTGAGTCAGTAATTATTATTTTAGTGCGGCACGAAAGCTTGTTTGTAAAGACAGCAGCCCATTCGGTTGAGTACGTCCTTTTGTCTGGCCAACCGGTAGGTTTCTAACATGAACCGTTTATACGAACACTAGTTGTTGTGCTTTTACATCTGAGTCGGTCTCTTTCTTTGTTAGTGGAATCCAGATAATAACCTGTTTTTACCATCCATCATCATCTAGGTAACATTTATGGTCAATTGGGATCGAGATTCTGCGGAATTTCGACGATCTCTTGCTGCTATTCGCACGCAACCTGTATCGCACTTGTGTCCAAAGCAACATCGACGCTGACGACACACAGCATTCAAAATGAAAATCACCGTTCTGAAGGTGCTCAGCCTTATTCCAGGAGCGAGGGAAACGCTGGAAATGGTAGAAGACCAGATGAAGTGCTTAATGACCGACTGAGGTATACTCAATGGTTAAGTAGTCCTCAGGCAGCGCAATGGTACAACCCAAACATGAGGGCGGCAACAGATCTCCAAAGCACAGAAGAACGCCGACAACAAAGACGCCGCGAACGACGGCTATGGAGGCGCAAACAAAAAGAGGCACAGTTGAATCACCAAGCTGGGCAAACGGGTGCGCACCATAGTGAGCTTAAGTCCAATCTAAGGCAACAACCTATCAACCCTTATGGAAATGAGGACCGCAGTCCTTCACACTGGCCTTAGACCCAAACAGCCCAATTTATCTGAGAGATACTACGGATTATACAGGGTGAATTTTTAAATATCCTTGTTAATTTACATCTTTTTATGTGTTCATACTTCTCAAAACTTGGCATTTGAACAAAAGTAGCTTGCTCTCATCATCTGTCGAAACACGCCAAGGGCTGAGTACTTTTATCTCTATAGCTGCGACGTACCACGTTCCTCCCATTGTAATAAATCGAGTGAACACCTTAATGTTTTCATTAGCACAACGTATCTAGCTAATTCAAGTCCGTCTACCTCAACTCCTTTGTGAGCATGACATCCCATTACATACAAGTTATCTATTAAATTTGGAGTCTCCCGATCGTCCCAAGTGTACTGGTCAGTTTTTATTTTGGTCTATATTATTGTTATTATGATCGCCAATATTATGAATGTTCCTACTGATCAACCGTTATGCACTCTATAGGGTCGAAATACCAAAGCAGTCATATCACAATGTGTTCCGTTCTCCATGAGTGGATTCCACGATGGAAATGCGGGTTTGCAAAATAGTCACGCGTCTGGAATTACTGTCTTCGGTGAACTCGGAGTAGAAATACCTTACTGGATATCACTACCACCTACAGAGCAAACAGGAAGAAAAAAGAGTAAATTTACACAAAGCATAGTGCGACCAGGCTGGCACTAACCCCATGTAAAGAGCCTGCTCCAACAGCATGTGCTAAGAGCACAGAAAAGAGGCTTCTGTTTTGAGAAAGCTTAATGAATGAAATACAAGTGACCCTTCTCAAAGTTACTAGTATTTTTGGCCGGAAAAGCAGTTGCGGTCTGTCTCTGAACAACCAGCATTTAATGGAACTGCCGGCTCATCGACCGGGTCTCTTCAATATGCCAAAAGCTACCGAGGCCATTCTCTTTGCATGATTTTCTATGTCCTTATTTAAAACAAACTATCCAAGACCTTAGTTCCTCCAAATCATTCTCTCCCCGAACTAAGCAGGAACGTTGTTTAAACATACACACGTTTTTTACTATCACTGACATTCTGAAACTCTTTGACGTCCTTGGCAGCACAGCAGTAAAAGTTATTCTTCCTTAGGGGATGTCGGAATTTCGACCCCATATTCCACCACACATTCACGACTGTTTCCCTTCCACTACATTACGTTGATGAATTTGTCTTGGTTGTGCATATGATTAGTCACGTTATGAAGTGAATCATATCCCGATTTGTTTACCAAATCGTGGGGCAATAATACATCTGAGGAGGAACAATGAAATTTTTAATGTAACTTTTTGGGCTTCCACAGTGTTCTATTAAAGCATTGTTTTCCCGCAGAGAGAAGTAAAAATGTGTTGCATAAATATCCTTAAGTGTGAATTAGGGGTAACTTTTCTTCATGTGGTTTGAACCTTGATGTTTGTCTGTCAAAAAATATAAACCGAAGCCAAAAAATTTCCTACGGTGACTTCGGTTAGTATGAATTTTCCTAAGTCCTTCTTCACACCAGGAAAGCGATTAATATGGACCGTTCATATTTCATCGTTTAGTACCAGTTAATACCAACTACCTATATTAGTGATCCCATAAGATGTAAACTGCCTTCTGGATATGAGTTTTTCAGCCAGGAGCGCTTCGTATTTTTCAACCGACAAGGAATTCATGAAAACTGTTAGAAATTCTAGATCCCCGTAAAAAAATTGGAAGGCCTGTTTTCTATTTGGTTACTTAATGCTCCTCATACCTTTACCAAGCACTTTCTTACAGAGCTCGCGAGATTTTGTAGTTCATTCAGTGACCTACACGGAGAGTTTGACCGGTAAATTGCTCATCAGTTTTCATTTGTTGCCTTTTCCGGTATCCGTGTGAGCAAGCAAAGCTTTCTCGCTCACTAGCGCAAGCGTAGATCTGTGAGCAAACGTTCTATGCGAAAGTAATTCATTAGTTATGGCCACTGGCGATCAGGAATATGGAAACATCGTGGTTGAACCCGTAAGCACCGAATACATCGGGTGCAGTTTAGAGACTTCAGCCCTCAGAATGCTGCTTTAGAGCTTTGTAAATGGAATTGGTTACTCACAAGTAGTTAGGGCTTACCAAGGTTTTAGTTACCCAATGGTATTTGACTCAGGTTGATGAAGATCGGCTTAAAAGTTGACCATATGTCTCGCTTTCAGTTTTTTCTCATGAATCTGGTGATTGTATTGGTGAAGAAACTTGAACAGCTGTGGAACATCCGAAAATTTCAACCAGAAGGCAAATTTTGAAAGTTGATGTCTCTGACTTATTCTCACGAGTTATTCTTACAGCTCGGAGATAGAGTTTTAGGTTTCATCAGCCCCTCTATCCCTATGATGTCTGTAGTCAGTGTATTGAACCTAAAAACAGTAGCTTATACAGTACGCCGCGACCACCAGTTAATACCCCATTTTATTGCACCCATCAATTAGGACAAAATTCGAGGACAAAAGAAGCCAAATACAGTAGATAAGATACTCACCCAAAATAGGCGATAATATCCTGGATCAAATTACTTTGGGCAAAGACTGATCGATACGGGCATGATTGTGACTGAATGTTTACATAAATTTAAAATTGATATTAGATAATCAGGTACAGTATTTTAAAATTCAAATAGTAAACCGATGATTACAATAACAATAATAGATCAATTTGGAGCACACAATTTGCAATCATATATTCTCAGTATGAATTCGCCAGGCAACAAATTATAAAACACAAATAATAAAGTGCTTAAAGAAACGGCAAACCGCATTAAGACTGGTTAGAAGCCTTAGGCAATAAACTGCCCTACAAATTTTGGGGTAACCTATAATTCAGTGTTTGAGCTAATTCAACCCGAGTTTCAGTGAACTACAGTGAAGCCGTTTTGACGTCCGTTTTGGCGTTATGCTTCTGGTGACAAAGGGTCGATTGTCTTTGTCGCAGTGCATCTGCTTCGGCTGTTGTGAGTATATTTCGTAAGGCAATCCTGGAACAATTTGGTGGCACTTGACATACAATAGAAAACGATTTGGACAGGTTGATCCAGTTATTAATATCATTCAGGTGGACACATGAAATTGTAGGTTCATGACATCCAGGAAATGACGCGGGAAGTTTAACACAAGCAGTTTCTAGCGTTTGTAGAATAAAGTGTAAGCCCCCATGGAATATTTTGGGAAAAGCGTCATTAATTAGAACAGAAAATCATGGCTGTCGGACTCACGAGATGACATTCGCCCATATTTCCGGAGCATATATTAGTTGCTGGCCATCGTTAATTTGATATCGGGTTGATCTAACCTTCCAGCAGAAGTAGTCGGTTGACTATTAATCTAGTTACAGTGTAGCACATTCTCTTTTGCCGATTCGCATTTAAGGGAACAATTTCTCCAAAGGAAGACAGAGGACAGCATCCCCAGGAAGGGACTACTCGGTGGCAGTTCTCTTTGCAGCATTGCGGAATTAAGATCATCAGTAGTGTGCATCTCACGAAACTGACCTTCGAAACCACGACTTTCCGCCTGGTGGTTGAACAGTTAAATTTTTGGCCACGAACGGCTGATCAGCATGGTGAGTAACTCTCATTTAGACAAGAAAGCGTCACTCACACTTTACTCACCGGATGTATATCAGGTGGTCACAGATGATGTGGATTATAATGATTCCCAATAACGATGAAACAGCTGTACAGTGCTTCTCGGCTTTTCAGCGTAGATTAGCTTCACGAAATCTCAAACAAAATTCCAAAATCTTCTCAAAGCACAAACAATTCAGTTGGTTATACAAATGTCTCCACGCAAGTACCGTGTAGTCTCAGCTGTTGTGCACCATGGTGCATGGGCGTAGTTTTTTCTACGACAAGCCAATCCCTTAAACGCACACAACCACAAACCAACCACAAACCAAACTTTTGTGCGATAGTTCCATGATTTAACCAACAAAACACGCATAGTTAAGGCAATCAATATCGTTTTTGTTCTCCGAAGCGACGCTGCAGCCAGACCGAGTAATTTCACTCCGAAAACGCACATCGAAAACTCAAGGCCTACAGGTCTAGTAGGTTGCCTGTACCGTGAGCCGGAAGCCTGGACACTAAACTGATGTAATCTGATGATTTTTCACCTGGTGGAATTGCAAGCAGTAAGAAACCGAGTAGAAGTCATCTGTTAATTTCGTTCTCCGCACATTATGAATTACAATCCGGAGAGAAGGCACTTTATATGGAAGGGCATGCTGTTGAGCGCCATTGCCAGTGGGAATGCGCATCAAATAAGCAGTGAATAGGTGAACGCATATCAAATGTCAAGTGAGCTTACATTGCCAAACTAGGTAAGGCAACAGAACACTGGAATTTTAATGAATGACATATTCAAACAATCACCTTTTGTGACAGAATCAGCTAATGGTTGATGATACGGCCTTTAGACAATAACCGAATTCTAGTCCAAACTACTCACAGCCAGCAATTTATCACAATCAGAATGACAATGCAAAATTCGCTAAAGTCAGTTCAGCTGTCTTAGAAAGGTGGTTCATAACCTTTCTAAACTTCCTTCCAGAATATAACCGAGAACCACTTTCTTCTATTGTCAACCATTTCTATTCCAATTTAAGGAAATGTTAACATTTATTCACCAGCTTGTACAGTTTACTGACATAGAGAAGGTTTCTACGTTTAATGCTAATTTGCAGCCTAGATGTCTTCAGAAAAATTGTTGTGAAGTGTATCAGTAGGCTTGTGTTTTGTATGTACGGCAATCCAGGATAATTTGGAGACTGATGTATTTTTTCATGCCATTCAACAGGTCACTTTGAATATTCAACTCTTGTTTGAGCAGACATTTTTATTTAATTTAAACAGTCCGTAAATACGAGAGACGCATGGCGGATACAGTTTCAAACATTCGGTCATTTTGGCTTCTATATTCATTATGCAGTGCTCCTCATCGATTCTGGTGTATTTGCCCCATCTGAACATATTTCGGAAAGTCACTGAGGTGTCAGGACCAAACACTTTCTCGATAGAGAAAAATAAGTACACAGCCAACTGTCCATCATCTAGGTATTCAAAATGTTTTAAACGGCCCCCAATTAACTTAGCATTTCCAATGCTCGAACCTCAGCTCCAGTTCTTTAAAGTAAACTGTACTTAGAACATAGCTCCATCAGATCATTTTCGTATAGTCTCGGAGGTCAGATTAGATTGTTTTTGAACAACGAGGGGCACATACCTAAGACCTAATCGAAGAGTGAGCGATCTGTTCAGAGGCCTAGAAAGTGGATTACTTTTCTATTAATATAATCAATATTAGGATGTAGCATCAGGAATACAACAGCCAATGGTCTGCTAGTCCTGTTTCAAAGTGGTATTATAGTACAATCTAGCACTAAACATAGATAGACGATAAACTTCGTGAGGTATCATGAGGGTTACGGTATAAT